TCATTCCTTGCATCTTGGATCCATGGATTTGGATGGATGAAAAGGTTTCTCCAAGTTCCCAAAATTGAGAACCTCTAAGTCTCCACACCAAGGTATATTGTAGAAGAAATTAGTGACCTAGAGGAAGTAAGATTGCTAGCTATTCCCCTCTAGATTGGCCAAAATTTTAGAGAGAAAGGAGAGCTTGTGTTCTCATCCTTTCCCCCAAAAATAACCCTTAGTAAATTTTAGGCTATAAAGTCATTTATATAGTCCCTTCAAATAAGTGACCTAATGGACCAAAAGCCCTATTCTTTTACACATGGCTAGCCTATAGGTTTATTGGGCTTTCAAGCCCTTTGTTTTATTCAAGTTGTCATACAACTTGAGTTAATGGGCTTGACATTCAAATCCCATTAGACCTTGCGGCCCAAAACTAACCCGAGGTCTTTTAACGAACTTATTCGTTTGATTAATAATCATATTAATTAATCATTGCCATAAATAATTAAACCATTTAATTATTCTTACTCATCTCCGTTGAATCTTCAATCTCTACCTTACACGGTGTACGATCCATTAGGTTCCTTTTAGCGAGGCAGTGGGCGATTCAAACTCTTTCAAATCGATTGTGAATTGAAACTTACTTTCAATTCTCCCGTTAGTGATAATACACTTTTAGGGCTTCCACAAACCATGAGTGACACCTAGCAGCATATCATGGTTACCCAAGCTAATCAGAAGAGGTGGAGAACCTATTCAGTTTAGGATTACAAATGCAATACGGTCTTTCTCTAATACAATACTCTTGACCACATTGTTTGGTTTGATAGTTTATTCATGTCTACTATCCACTGTGAATCTTGTACTTATATGATTACCTTGAATGTGATCTGGAACGCATTCCAACATCTCATTCATACTCTGGCCAGAGATTCTAAATCATATCATAGAGTATTCTCCCTCAAACAGTTTGAAGGTTGGAGATCCCTTGTTGCGCATTCACTTGCCTCCATGGCTAAGTGGCTTAACCCCAACGATGCCGTGGACACCCTGATAGAGTGACTTTGACATAATCAAAGATTAAGGACCTAACCACAAGACAACTGTGATGCCTCAGGTCAAAAGACTAATTTGCATTATCCCAACCATGAATTCTCATGTGACATGAATATGAGAACTCTTCGTTGATCGTGTTCAGTGAACTCATTCTCTATTGAGCACCTACGTACTTGTCTTGATGTCACACACACCAATGACTCGAGACTAGTCACTCTCCCTGAGAGAAGACATAGCACGTACTGATCTTAACGGACTGTCAATGCCCAATTGACAATCCTATGATCAGGAACGTTTAGGATGTGTCAACGAAAGAATGGTCTCATGAATCTAACTTCTTTAGATCGCATTCTTCCAATCACATATTCCTTGGACTTATCGTTTAAGCATATAACATTTATATTAGACGGCTCAAACAATAATCTTTGCCCTTTAAACTACATTAGTTTGAAATGTCCGTAAAGTATCATCATATGATTGGTTTTAGGGCACATTTCCAACATTGCGCACCACCTCGGCTATGTAAAAGAAACAAGCAGAGAAGAATGCGGTACAAGGAGCTGAAACAAACTGCTGGAGCACGACTCCTTCCCCTGCAGCACCATCCAGACAGAAGAGTTTAAGTCAAATCCAAACTCGACATCATTGTTCTAATCAAAGAGCTCGAGAAGCCTCAACAACCCTCCGCTGGCGCCGTCACCAAAGAGCAAAGCCTCGCAGCGCGACACCGTTAAATCGTCAACACTTCTTCAAAAAGCAAAAGTATCTCATATCATGCTTTCTCCATGTATTTTCCTTTATCCTTGTTCTTACTCGCAGGGCAAAGAGAAAGAGAGCAATCAGCCGGCACTTGGAGTCAGTCTTCCGATCTGGAACTGACTACCTGGAATCTATTCCCTGGTTGCTTACCTAGCGTTGCTCTCGAGTAGTCATCTTCAACGGTTGATACACTTCCAGAGAAGGGACCACATCTGCTTGGAGAACAGCTAAGACGAGTGACAATGAAACATCAATCTTGTGGATCGTCAGCAAACGCAACAACTGCATATGCTGAGTCACCCTCTAACCCTTTTCAATATGAATTGAAAAAATTGAACAAAGAAACAGGTCATCACCTCCACCTCGTGCTTGCCTACCATGTGTCTGAATCCTGAAACCGCTCATAGTCCTATTTTCACTCAAGATCAAGCTTCGATGGCCCTTGAAGAAATCACAAGCCTGATTCAAAATCAAGTGTTCTCCACATTCGAATCAAATTCAACTCCAGATAAAAGGAGTAAGTTCAGACGATTGGAGGAAACCAGAAAATCTTCTAGTCGAACTCAAGATCAAGCCTCGATGGCCCTTGGAGAAATCACAAGTCCGATTCAAAATCAAGTGTTCACCACCCTTGAATCAAATTCAACTCCAGATAAAAGGAGTAAGTTCAGACCTTCGGAGGAAACCAAAAGAATCCTCCAGCCCAGTTCAAGACTAAGCCTTGGAAAATCAACGATTGGAGGAAACCAGAAAATCTTACAGTCGAACTCAAGATCAAGCATCGATGGCCCTTGGGTTGACATCTACATTAAGGGACTTCAAAATGCATCTTCTACACGTGACAAGCACATGTCTACGACGCGCCTTGAAGTGGGGGCATTTGTAGACATCGAAATTTCGGTGAAACAAATGTTCACCAACGTATTAAAGTTTTGACGTGTCAGGGCATACATGGCATACGCCACGTGTCGTACAAATTATACACATGGCATGTGACTCAACAAAATAGGAAGAAATACCCTTGGATGATTAAACAAGTTTTTCTTCTCAACTTGGGCAATGACAAGGTAAGCACATTTTAATCCATTACGGATCAAAGCAAGTTTTTCTTATTTGGGCAATGACAAAGCAAGCACATTTCAAGTTTAAAATTGTATTAAGTGGGAAATTAGGCCATAAATAAGACCATTTCAATTTCAATATTGCATTAAGTGGAAAATTAGGCCATTTGTTAGACCACTTCAATTTCAATATTGTATTAAGTGGGAAATTAGGCCATAAATAAGACCACTTCAATTTCAATATTGCATTACGTGGAAAATTAGGTCATTTGTTAGACCACTTCAATTTCAATATTGCATTAAGTGGGAAAATTAGGTAATAGTGCTTGGGTGGGAAAATTTTGTGGTGGTGATTCACTCTTAAAGCCTATAAATAGGCTTCTCCATCAAGAGGAATAGACACCAAAACCTTGAAGCCTTAAAGTTCTAAAGCTCTCAAGAAAATCCCAAAGGATCAAGAAAGCACTCTTCGTTCTTCGTCAAATCCTCCTTCTAGATCAAGCCCCAACGCCCCTTGAAGAACTTCCACCAACTCAAGATCAAGCCCCGACGGCCCTTGAAGAAAGTGTTCGTCGTTCATCCTAAGATCAAGCCCCAACGGCCCTTTGGATCAACAACATCAACAAATCCACACATCTAACCATTCTTCAAGATCAAGCCCAAAAGCTGTTGAAGATCCGCTCATCCATCAACCTTCAAGATCAAAGCCACGAAGGCCCTTGAAGAAAGTGTTCATCATTCATCATCCGTTCATCTTAAGATCAAGCCCCAACGGCCCTTTGGATCAACAACCTCAACAAACTCATACACCCATTCTTCAAGATCAAGCCCAACGCCCCTTGAAGATCCATTCATCACCGTTCATCCTAAGATCAAGCCCCAACGACCCTTTGGATCAACAACATCAACAAATCCACACATCTATTCTTCAAGATCAAGCCCAAAAGCCCTTGAAGAAAACCAACTGTTCATTCAAGATCAAGCCTCGACGGCCCTTGAAGAAAACCAACCGTTCTTCAAGATCAAGCCCAAAAGCCCTTGAAGATCCGCTCACCCATTCTTCAAGATCAAGCCCCAACGGCCCTTGAAGAAACTTCCATCAACCTTCAAGATCAAAGCCACGAAGGCCCTTGAAGAAACTTACAACTGTTCATCCAAGATCAAGCCTCGACGGCCCTTGGATCAACAAATCTACATCTTACGGAGATAGAATCAGATGATCAAATTACAAAGAGATCGTAACCCTAAAATCATCAAACCACAAAAAATATTATTTTGTACACTTATTTTTGTTTCTTGTTTTCAGGAATCTTTCGTGTTTACAGATTAAAATAGGAAAATGCATGCTAAAATGTACCTATAACGGTATTTAATTTGTCAGAAAATGAAAATTATGACAAATTTTTCTTTTGTAATTTTCAAGTTGTTAAAAAAAAAAACATGTAGAAGGGTGAAAAAAGGGGTAAATGAGTAAAAAAAGGATAAACTGGTTCAAAAACATGTAAACGGTTATGATTAAATGGGTAAACGGTTATAGGTATAGTTAACCGTTTATAAACTATTATGAGTATGAGTATAACCCTTTATACAATTACTAAAAATTCATTACCATTGATCCCTCAACTCATCAAAATATGTGGCTATGGTCATTTTCGTTAACTTCTTCGGAATTTTATCAAAATAAGTTATGTTGGAAGAACCATTGCTACAATTGGGGTCCCTCAACTCGTCAAAACGTGTAGCTATGACCATTTTTGTCAACTTCGTCAGAATTTTGTTAAAATGAATTATGTTGGAATGATTATTGCTACAATTGAGATAAAGTATGAGGGACTATTGCTTCAATTAGGTTAAAGTTTGAGGAACTATTGCTCCAATTTGGTTAAAGTTAAGAGATTATTTTTTCACTTTGAAACCAATGGTGATTAATTTTTAGTTGAAAGACCATAGTTGTATGTTTTGATGAGTTGAGGGACCAATGATAATAAATTTTTAGTTGAAAAATTATTATTTTAATTAAATTAAAGATAAGCAACCATTGCTACAATTTACTTTTTGTAAAAATACACAGGAGGAGCAGTAAATATCCAAAGGAAAAAACAAACTATAAGCTTCAAGTACAGAAAACGTGGCACAATTCCCCGTGCGCTTCCCAACTTTCCACTCCCATATGATCCTTTCCGTTCCCTTTAACTCCGTCACAACGACGGTCGTCCCTTTCTGCCGCCAAATCCGACCCCTTCACATGCACGCCGTTATTCTCACACCGCTTATATCCTCTCTCCCTAAATCTCTCCCCTCCTCCTCTCTCAGCTTTATGCGGGAGAAGAAGATGAAGACCTCCCTCGCTGTCTGAAACCCTAAACGGAACGAAACGGTAAATTCTCGACGACTTTTCTTTATCTTTCCTGTACTCCAGCAGTTTGGAAACCCTAGGTTTTTTTCTGCAATTTATATTTCCGTTATTGAACTTCAATGCTTATTTTTCCTAGGTTTTTCTTCAATTTTATGATTATTAAGAATCAGTGAATTTTGTTTGCCTAATTACTTTCCTCTGCTCTTAACTCTGTTTTTTTTTCCCTTTTCAATTGTTGTTCTTCATTTTTGTATCAGTTTGTGGATGCGGTTTCGATTTGTTTTGGTTTGTTGTGGTTTTTGAATTTAAAATTCAATTAAGTGGTGGGTTTGAATGTTAATTTTGAGGAATTACTTGATAATGTGAACAGTATTTCCTTAAAAGTTAACTTGCAAATCGAATATACCGAATAGTTGTACCCTTACCTGAATACAACAGACGATGTTGCAGTGAATTAATTACAGTCGATGATGCTGCTGCTATCGGATCTTCGACAGTAGATGATGCGTCATGATAACTTTACTTTGTTCTTAACTTTTTTTCCTTTTTGAATTGTTGTTGTTGTTTAATTTTGTTTTGGTGTGTGCTTGCGGTGTTGATTTAATTTGGTTTTCGCTTGTTTCGGTTTTGGATTTGACATCTAAGAACTGTTGGACTCTATGTTCGATGAATACATGGTGAAGTAGGCTCCATTTTTTATAGCATCTATCATTCAGCATCAATTGGGTTTTTTCTGTTAGAGGCTAGTATGGAAGCAATAATGTGCAGAGTGTTTCCTTAAAAGGTAACAAATTAATTGAAGACGCCAAGTAATGTGCCATTAACTGAATACAACAGATGATGTCACAGTTGTTGAATACAGTAGAGCTGCTACCGGATTCTCTACTTAGAGGATTAGGTTGCGGGTATTAAACATGAATGACGGACTAAATCTTGTTTATTTTCTGTCTTCCCAGGACGTGAAATTTTGGTTCACCATCAAAACTTACGGTATCTGGACAATCATGGGATCAGCTTGCTGTGTTGCTGCAAAGAAAAGAACCCACCCAAATCGAAGTGAAGGTGAAGCATTGCACAGGAATGCCATTCATTCACCATCATGGAGTTTTCAGTGGGATAATCGTCGGCGTGTCGCTGGTGAAATTGATACTCCATATCAAGTCTCTGGTGGAATCAGTACTAATGATAGCATGGAGTTAAAAGGTGCATTAAGTTCTGAAAGGGGTAATTTCTCAGATCTGGGAAGCCCGCTGGAGAATTTTGGAACACCTATATCTCAAAAGTCCCCTGTTCATGGACGAACAGGTAAAAATCTGAGGAGTCCATCTCCAGGTAAACGTTGTGAAATATAACTCTCATTTTTGGTAAATAAAACCTTCTGAGCTTCCTACTTTTCATCATGAGGATAGTTTACATAAGATTGAATGCAGCGAACATGTAATTGCCTCTTTTACTTGGTTTATAAACTACTACATCGGAAATGCCTGTGAAAATGAAAATTTAACTTTGCAATCCTCAGTGTGATGCAAATGGCACAGCGGTATCACGTTTGCATTGGTAGGACTTTCTGATAGTCGTGAATGAGAATGACCAATCTAAAAAGAGTTTATAAACCTCGTGTCTTAATTTTAAATTGTTACTTAATGAATGCTTTCTGCTGGTATTTGGTCTTCCATGTATGGACAAGAATGTATATACTCTGTCAAAATGTGATCTCTTTCACCGACTGATCATAGTGTTTTAAGTAATTTGGGTGCTTTTTTTCTTGGTATTTGTAAACACATTGAAGAACCACACAATTGCCTTATATCCAAATATATGCCTCTCTCCGCTTCCCGCTTTCCTACATGTTTATATTAGGCCCTAATGCTGGAAGGGCTTCATGCAGATTTTTTCTTTCTGTTTTTTGAGATGACTGGATATCTGCCAATTTACATATCATCAAAATAAAAGAAAAAGAAAGATCAAATGTGCAATTTTCTTCTGTGAAAATAGAAATTCTGGACGCGTCACTGTTTTATGCATCGACGAAGTCTTATAACAGAACATATATTTTAAATTTGAACACATATGTCCTCTATTTTCTTTTCGTTTGAGCACATGTTAAGAAAGGACATTGGTAACCTGCAGTTCGTTGTTTTACAATTATTTGTACAATGCAAATTTGTTAGCCCTCGCCATGAGGTCGTTGGATGCTTGCATGTGATGTTTTGCGCATGCACACACTGATCAGACATACTTCCATTTTATGTTAGGTAGTCATACAAATTTAATTCTTGGATTGCTGGTTTTTGTTTCTTTATTTGTATGTGGTTTACTGAGCCGAGTGTGTGCATTTTGCAGATCTAACCATTGCAAGAAATTATTCTCCAGACGTGAGTTTGACCCCATTAAAACTAGACCTGTTATAATGGGTTGTGTGCATTGTTATTTGATGTTCTAACCCCTTACCGATTGTCATTTGATTGTCTTGACCTTTTTCCAATTGCATTTCAGGTGAAGAGTTTGACAGAATCACCTGGAATTGCAAATTCAGCCGTGTCAAATCTTTTGTTGTCCATGCCTACAACTTTTTCAACACCAACTGCAGAAACATTACGTACCCCTAGCTACCCTCTATTTCCCAACTCAACCCCATCAAGACGAGCTCGTCGTTCACCAGGACATCAGCTGTTGAGACAGGTTTCTGATAGTCGGATATTGGGATTAAAATCTCCAAATAACAACTCAATCTCTGAAGGAAGGCAATCATTTGTACTCTCCACTTGCAGCAATGACTTGGCAACTGGATCTCTAGGCGGGTCTTCTGATGGCTGGTCAATGCGTACCTTTTCTGAGCTCGTGGCGTATTCTCAAAGGGAAAGATTGTCTTTTGACAGTGAGCACTTTGGTTCTATCCATGGAAAGCTAAGTGGATCAAGCAGCAGGTTCTCGTGTTCTCCTTCCATAGATTTGCAGTCTTGTGGTGTCTGCTCAAAGCTCTTAACAGAAAGATCTTCATGGAGCGGCCAGAAAATTATTGCTGGCAGCGACACTTCCGTGGTTTCTGTGCTGGTATGTGGACATGTTTACCATGCTGAGTGCTTGGAGACTATGACCTTGGAGGTTGATAGGTATGACCCGGTTTGCCCAATTTGTATGGTCGGAGAGAAGCAAGTCTTAAAGATGTCGAGAAAAGCTTTGAGGGCAGAAGCAGAGCTCAAAGCCAAAAACCACAAGGTATCCAAAAATAGAGTTGTAGATAGCTACTTTGATAGTGATAACGATGTCTTTGATCAGCAGAAGAATGCCAATAGAAAAGGACAGGTTTCTAAGATGGAACCGAGTTCCAGCACTCGGAATTCCTCTGTGAAGCCTTTCTTGAAACGACACTTCTCGCTTGGATCAAGGTGGAGTAGATCCCTATCGGAAAACGATTCTGCTAGGAGGAAGGGGTTTTGGGCCAGATAGCTCAACGATTGGTCTCCCCAACCCCAGCTAGTATGAAAGATGCAAGCACAATGTTACATTTTCTTCTGAAATTTGTAGTCTAAGCTTCAATAATAAATTAAGTCTCATTTCGAAAGTTTCTTTCCGCGGAGTTCCCATATATCCGTCGTATAACCTTTGCTTGTGCGTGCTTACATGCACGGGGATTCATCGACTGTCGTAGGTTCAGAGAAAGATGGGATCCGATGAGGATGCCCTTAATTTTAATGTTGATTTTGCCGAAAATATCATACCTTTCTCTACTGTAGAGATTAGTGGTGAGATTGGGAATAAATGAAATCTTCCAATTCTTCGCCCTTTGTTCTGCATCTGGTAGATCAATTCAGCGTTGGATGGGGACCAATGTAGCAATTTTTGTTTTTTTTTAACAAACAATATTATCTGCACTAAAACCATCTCAAACCGAAAGGGCTAAACATAGCCCTCAAAGTATGATCATCTCCAACTGAATGAGCTAAACATAGCATCCTTAATAATTTATTAGTTTTAAGTTTATACTTTAAATTTAATGGTTAATATAATTAAACTAACGTTGGATGTTTTTAAATCTTGTCGTTGAATTTGTATCCATTATTGCAATTAAGTAGCTGGGTCTCAAAAAAAGGGCTAAGGCCATCTCTAACCGAGTCGATTAAAGGGCTATAGGCCAAAACATAGTTTGTTTTGACACAAAACTTCTCTCTAACGAAGGGTTAGGTCAAAAAAATTTGAGACCAACCAGGCCAAAATATAGCCACATGGCCAAAAGGCTAGGCAAACATAGCCAGCAAACCAGCCCTAAAAGTTGGGCCCAATTGTTTTGCTAGTTGGCGTCATGTAGCTTTTTTTTTCATTTAAAGGAAAACTAATGAAAATGATTTGAAAACTTTGAGTTTTAATGATAATGACAATAAATGTTAAAGTGAATAGTACCAAGATTGGTTTTTTAGTGTAAAAATGTGGTTTTTAATAACATGAAACTTAAAACAACATTTAATGACAAGTAGCTCGCAAAAAATGTCCTGAAACCTTATTTTAATATAGTAGTTTAATCCAATTAACCAATAAAATTAAAGAACAAACTTAAAATAATAAATTATTGAGGAGGTTAAAAAATAGCCTCTTTCGGTTGGAGATTTTACATAGATATGCCCTGGCATTGTTCATTAAAAAAATAATTTCTTGCAAGGCTATAATCTGGATGGAGGTTAAACGTAGCTCCTTCAGTTGGAGATGACCTAAAAGGGGGTTACATGTGGCAAGCCTAATACCCCTTTGGCCAAATAATGGTCTGGCTGGCTTTATAGAATTATAGCACAACCCTCCATTGTATACGAATTTTTGAGAAAATCAAGCTATTTTTTGGTAAGTGATAAATTTTAACAAAAAAATAAATAAAAAAGAAAATTAGAAAATCTAACAGTAGGTGGTAATGGCTATTAATAAGAAGTCGATGGGGTAGTTGGTCAAATAAAAATTGAGGGGGTAAATTGAGTTAATGAGGGACTAAAAGGGAAATCGGCTAATACCTCTTTAAATAATCATTTACATAACTTTCTATCTCACATCACCTACACTGTTTTAACCTTAAGTTGATCGATCCATCCGCTGGAATTAGTGTTTGGGGATGATAATTACTTTGGGCTTGATTTAATTAGGCCCAGACCATTCAAAGACCATTGAACCCTTGTTGGGTATTTGATTTTGGCAAAATCTGTGGCCCAAATATTTTTAAATATTATGACGTGGCACAAAGGGTAGTAGTGTGAGGCAATCTGCCTACTGGCAATTAGCCTACTGGCAATCTGCCTACGGCATCCAAATTTCATCAAAGTATAGGCACAACAGAAGACAGTAGAACCAAAATGATTTTCTTTAGTGTTTCATTACCTTAAGAAAAATAAAACTTTAACGTTACAGCTGTCCAAGGAAACACCCGATGTTCGTCACTACCCAGGGTCACCGCAGTGCCCACCTAGCTAGTAAAGATAAAATCAAATTTACTCTGCTCCTATGAAACCAAAATAAACCTTTAAACTTGCTACTCGGTAGCGTCGGGCCTGCGGTATGGCATGTATCTGTGGTCCTTTGCTGCATTCTTCCTGCGCCTTTTCTCAATGAAGGCTTCGAGCTTGCCAGATGCCTGGTCATGCAAACGGATGACATTATTTGCCAATGCCAAAGCCATCATGACTAAGTACTAATCTCTCACAAAGCTATTTTTCAACATTATGACAAAAGGAAAACATGTTACCTTGAGTTGTTTATACTTCTCCACGAGTCTTTTCTTTCGGATCTCAGCTGCAAATAATAGAAGAATGAAACGTCAATTGGAATTTAATTTTGATCTACTCATCTTATGATCTCATTTAATCAAGTGCTACTAGAGCAATATCTCAATAGCACTCATGCCGAAAACCTATACTGGGTTTTGACAGTCTATACTTCTGGGTAGCACTCAGCAGTTACAATAAGCAGAAAAAACATAATGAAACATCTGTATTCAGAAACTCAAGGCTCTTCATGTGATCATTTGGAGCCCACTTCTACGTTTTTAGCTTTGTTTAGGATGACAATTTATATTTCTGAATCAAAGAGCAAAGGGTGATTTGGACTCGTCCTATTTATTCCAAGAAATGGTAGCCAGAGAAAAAATTGTGTCACAGTTCCAGTTAGCAGCAATACAAGTTTTTGGGTGATGGCCACACAGAACTTTGCACTGGTCATGGTTGAGAGTCTTGTAACGTTCATTCTTGTAAAGTTATCTGGGTCTTGTTGTTAATCCTAGATATTTGGTGGTCTGGTAAATAATTGTAGTTTTCTTATGATGCTTGCTCATAAGTGATTAAAAGACAGCATTACCTTAATGAGCTGGCAGATACATTTAAGGCAATGTTGTATACAATTCGCTGATGTGCAATTATTTTAAGAAAGCTACATGTAGCTTCCATACCACCAACAAACTACAATTATGAATTGCCACCCGTGCAAGATTTTAAGAATGAATATCTAAAGATTCTCAACCATGACCAAGGAAACGTCCTGGAAACCTCAATATCAGTTACTATTGTTGCTCCCTAGAATTGTGATAGAAAATTTTGAAACAAAAAAAAATATTTTTCTTGTATCTGCTATGTGCTGACTAGAAGTACATACTATTTGAACCGAACGCAGATGAACATGCGCACACAGGTGGAAAGGGAGCAAGAAAGGGCATTACATTTCTTAAGGAAAAAGGGTTGCTTCCCTTCCTTTGCTGCTTTTCTCTCTTTTTTCTTGTGCTCAGTCAGTATTGCAGCTTCAGTATGCTTTGAATCAGATTTTAGCTGTTTATCCTGCAAAGACACAAAAACAAAGATAAATGAATAGTTAAAGAACCAGTAATTCTAATTTTCCAAAGCAAATTTAAAGTTAAAAGGACTATATAACATGGTCGCATAAATGAGGGAGTGTCAAATATTTACATAAAGGCAAGCACTTACAATCAAAGATATGTGTTTCTTTAGTTCTTCAATGGTTTCTGGGTCCTTAGATTTCTTGATTTGCTTCTGTAGTTCCTGTAATATTCAAACCAAAACTAAGCGAGAGAAAAGGTGTATAGATGATACTGAATATATATATATGACTTATTTAAGAAACTTTACCTCTTTTTCGGCAGGAAGCTCCTCCTCAAATAAAAAGCGATATTTCTTCCTAAACCTGTTGAATGCATGTTATTCCCTCTCTTTTTTTTTAATTTTTGTAAGAAACAAAATTTTGCTGAAGTCAAAACAGTTACAAGTTCAACGACAAGTTGTCCACTACCCGTAAAACAATAAACAAAAAATAAGCCAACGCAGTAAAGTTTATCTATCATACAACAACTGTAAAATCAAGATCACAACATCTTTCCAATCTTCAAAATAGCAACAACAAAAAACGAGTTTTCTGAAACTCGACATTAAGCACCATAGTGATGTCAAAAACCTTCCCATCCCATAAGACCCCTTCTCCACATGTTACTAACCAGCTTCAAGAAAAAATCAATAAACATAAAACTTTTGCCAGGGAGAGAGAAAGCATACCGGTCAACATCAAGTTCTCCACATAAAGATTCGAAACGTGGGTCCCGTACCACCTGAACATAGCAAGAAACAATTCCAACCAAGGTATATAAATTGCTTTCTACTGACTGAATTCTACAAGTTTTACACTAATCGAAGTACACGTAAGCCAGTACTCCAATATCAATGAATTGCCTAAATTGATTAAGTATGGAAACACCTAGCTTTTATCATAGAAGTGACTCACAAATTTGATCATCGATTTCTAGCTTTATCACAACTTTGACAAATCAAACCTAGCAGGATAAATGAATCCTGTAAGAAAAGCTACATGAAATACTATACCACCTAATTCCAATTCATCGTGCTTAAATCATACCACGTTTTGAATCCAAATAGTTCAGGGCAATTACACAACAACAGAGTATAGTTATTTAAAGTTAACTTTCTTCATGGTAAAATATTTGTAATTACCATTCTTTTCTAATGAAAACTTTTACAACCCAATAGAAAACAGAAAGGGTTACGGAAAATAAGAACGAATCTTAATGAAGTCATCATACAAATCATAACAAACGCCATATCAAAATCTCACCTTTTTTGAACCTTGAATGACTTCTCGAAATCTAGGGACAGGCTTCGTGCAAGTAACCTCCATCGGTCTTCACAAACACACAAACATATTCATCTGTTTAACTACAAAACATATGAACCAACAAAACAATCCAATGTAAGCTGAAATTACCGGTTCTTGTTCGCCCGGCCACCCTTCTTCTGTTCTTTAGGCTTAAGGTGCACTAAATGTGACCCGTTCGAGCGTGCCTTCTGCAGTTCCCCAAATGTCACATCTGCAAGCGCCTGCTCTATCTCCTCCTCCTATAACAAATAAAAATACGCAAATTAAATACAAAAATTCAATTGTTCTTCAAATTAAAGCAACAAAAATACTAATAAATTACGCGGCTTTGGATCACTTACATCCTCAGAAGACGAAGATTCAGGTTCTTCGAACTTTGTTTTGGTTGGCATTCCCATCGAGCTACCAGGTTTTAACATTCTGATTCTCTGAGTTAGAAAAGGATTATATGGCTTTTACCCTAAAATTGAAACCAAGGTCTCATTACTACCAACAAAAGCATAAATACTGGACAAAATTCATGAGGTAAATACTGAACACCATCCACAAAAAGAGGAAGCAAAATAATCATATAAATCAAAACAGAAAATAGAAATTAGTTACCCAAATATTTCATACCTGAGAATCGGTGTCTCTTCAGTATCGGGTGAAGCAGAGATGTGAGCGGTGTAGTAGGTGAGAAAGATGGAAGCTGCTGGTGTGGTGTGCGAGGCGGCGGCTGGTCTGGTTGATGGGAGGGAATGGTTTTGCTATTGCTGCGCGGGGTTTGTCTTGTGCCGGCTGAATTTTTTTTGTTTTTTTCGCTTTTCAATACTTTACTATTATATGCCCAGCAAAGTATATGCCGAGACACAAAATGTGTGAAATGTTTTTTTTTTTTTTGTTTTTAAAATTGAACAAGAGAGTAAGAGAGTGAGAGAGAACATGAGACAGAGTGGGGAGGGAGGTTTTTTTTTTTTTAATTTTTTAATTTTTAATTTCTTTAATTAGAGATGATGAAATCACCTCTAGGTGAGATTTAAATAAAAAACAAAAAAATTTATTTTGTGAAAATTACATTATTGTCCTTGATTTTTGTTGTGATAGAAGATAAAAATGTATTTTTATCCCATTTTGGTTGTCAAATAGGGTTTCATTAGTATGTAGTTTAGATAACACCTCATGTGTAGAAAAGTGATGGTAAAGATTCTAGAAATTATCCCCGTACTTTTATTTATTTATTTATTTATATATATGAGGTTAGATAGTTTTTTCCTCTAGCGATAAGGTTCTTCCTCCTATAATTTGTATAACTTCTGTAATGCGTTGATTTTTTGGGGGGCTAATTTGGAATTAGGTTTTGCAATTCTATCTTGTTTGATTTTTACAACATTTTCATGTAAAAAAAATACAAATTTCGAAAAAAAAAAATGATAGTGAAATATGAGAAAACTATTGCAGTCATATTTAGAATAGGAATGTAATTGTGTAAATCCTAGGAGATATGGAAAGTATCGTATATTCCTTTTAAGACTAGATTACCTATTAAATGTTGTAATCCTAAAGGGAAAGGTTTTTACCTATTCTACTACTATAAATAAAGACACAATGGGGTGAATCAAATACACCTCACAATTAAATCAATATCTCTTCTCTCTTATTGTGGCCGGCTCCCTTCTCTCTCTAAACCCTAGATTGTTTAATCAAATAGGCCTACAACATGTTATCAGCACGCTCTTGCCAGAAGTTAAGGAATTGACGCATCGTAGGAGGAGGCTATCATCCACCAAATTCAAAGGTTTATTCGTTTTCTACTAATTAGGTTCGCTTAAAATAAAAGAAGATATTTGAAACGTCCACGAAGCATGAAAACATTCCCCATGATGCATGAACCCCTATATGTTTATATTTTCCTTTCAATATATATTTTGTATATGTTGATATATTTGTCAATATATATATATATATATATATATTTGTTTCATGCATCTCACAATTAAATTGTTAAGTGGAATTTGCGTGTCAAACTATACAAAATAAATTAGAAGCATATTTAGGGTTTTTCCTAAACCCTAAGGGATTTTTTGAAAAAAAAATAGGGGGGGTATACCACCGCACCATCATTGTGGAAGCAGCCACCAGGCCTCGCCCTGGCATTCACCTTGGCAGGACCTGAAGTCCTATGCCCATTTTGCTGCATTGGCCCACAGCCATGACACCAGCCTTTTGGAGGCTGGGCCTTTACTCAAACCCACATGCCAGCTCACGGGGCTGGGTTTTTGTCCTCTCGTGCATCACCCACAAAGCCAGCTCCTGCTGGGCCTTGTCCCGTGCACCCTCCTTCGGCCTAAATGAAAACCCAGCTACGGCTGGGGGATTTCTTCCACCCCATGGCCTGTAGCCATGACCCGAGGTCCTTTTTTTGGGCCTTGCCTTATACTTAAGGCACCCAACCCATGCCTCTTACCCATGACACCAAGCCCAAATTATTTTGGGGCTATATTTTTGATCCAATAATATTATTTTAATATTATTTAGCTTCTACAATCGACCCTGTATTGCCTGATTTATTGAATTAATTAAAAGTGACTTGTAGTCCATTAATCTGATAATGAATCCAAAATTATTACCCTGAAGATCACTTTTGGATATTAATGATTCAATAATTTATTTTTATACTTTGAACCGTCACATACTTTCGTAGTAATGAAGCTCCCACACTTGAGTTCCTGAAGAACCCCAAATCCATTATATACAAATTAGTATATTGCATTCTGTGTTTCTTGCAGGAACCTCTCAATATGAACTAATTGTTCATAAAATTAAATTGAACCTGTAGTTTCAAATTTAGTGCCTTTGAAACCCAAAGTTTTCATTCAAAACATACCACATGAAACCTGTAATTTTCATGCATAAATTAAACCAATACATGTTTATAGAACCTATATGTTCTACGATATATGTCTATGGCTTACCATATGACTAATCACGTTCTTCCCTCTGTTTTAGGGACATGTTGAACTTGAACAAGCTCGATTTCTCCGCTCTAGAAGTCTTTGGAAGAAACTATCTAAAGTGGGTTCAAGACGTGAAGCTCCATTTAACTACAAAGGGCATTAGAGCCACCATTGAGGCACCTATTGCCGATAAACCTGTTGACGAAGCTCAGAAGGCTATTGCAATGATCTTCATTTGAAGAAACATCCATGATGCATTGCAGATTGAGTATCTTGCTAAGGAGGACCTATGCACCCTCTGGCTTGCTCTGGTTGATTGTTTCGATCACCAGAAAGACATATACTTGCCTGAAGTAAGACACAACTGGTAGCATCTTCGCTTCCAAGACTTTAAGTCTGTGAATGAATACAACTCTAAAGTTTGTAGAATCCGTTCTTTGTTGAAATTCTGCAAAGTGGAACTAACCGAATCAGATCTCCTAGAAAAAACCTATTCGACCTTCCATGCCACTAATATTGTCCTGCAACAACAATATAGGGCATAGAAATTCACCAAGTTTTCCGATTTAATCTCTGTTTTACTTCTCACTGAAAAGCAAAACCAGCTTCTGATGAAGAATCATCAAGCTCGACCCACTGGCTCCAATGTCGCGCCTGAAGCGCATGGGACCTATTCTAGTAGCCATCAACCACAAAATAATCATCGTGGCCGTGGCAATGGGTGACAAGTCCAACCATGGGCCCAAGGTCAACAGAGTGCTGCACCTAAGGGAAAAAAATATGACTCAACAGCGTCCACCACTCGCCCCTAAGACCCCAAACTTCAAGAACAAGGGCAAGGCTCCCGTTCAGCCTGCTTCTATTGAACTGGACATGTGTTATCGCTGTGGATCAATGGATCATTGGTCACGCGTATACCGAGCTTCCCCTGAAGCTATTGCCAAGTATCATTCCCCTTGTGAGTTTAACTTTGCACATGTGGATCCTTTGGAAGATGCAACTACATCAATGGAGATATCGGATTTTCAGGAAGTGTCAGTACCTATGGATGAATAAATTAGACATGTTTTTAGGGTGTTTACCCCTAGTGGCCAAACCCACTAGGAGTGGCCGGCCCTACCCCTTATTTTGCTAGGTTTATGGTTTAATTTTGAACAATTTTCCTAGGTATTTTGAATAATTTGTTTAGTTTTGGTTTGATTTGAATTATGGATTGTTATTTGAATGGATATTATTCTCTCGAATTACTTAATTGAATGAATGGACTTATATCTATGCATGTGACCAATTCAATCAATTTATTTCTAGGTATTTCTAGTGGGGAAGTTAGTTGTCTGGCAGATAGTGCAACCATGCACACCATCTTGCGTGAAAAACACTATTTTACTAACTGCATACCTAAGAAAGCTCATTTGACAACTCTCTCTGGCTCATCCAACCTGATTGAAGGATACGGAAAGGCATGTATCATGTTGTCCAATGGTACAATTCTAACCGTTAATGAGGCACTTTACTCTCCATGTTCTGGAAGAACGTTGCTCAGTTTTAGAGATATTCGAGATAATCAATATGATCTTGAAACCACTGAAGATCATGGTTCTGAATTTCTTTGTATCATTTCGTATGTATATGGCCAGAAGCATATTCACGAGAAGTTAGAACACTTGCTGAGTGGGTTGTACATCACAAACATTCGCAACATAGAAGCCCACAGTGTGGCGGGCCTTATGCCTGAGTTCTAGGACATTTTGTTGCTTTGGCATGACCGTTTAGGATATCCTAGACGTGACATGATGCGCTGTATCCTCAAATCTTTACACAGACATAAGTTACATCCTTAAGGAAATTGAATACTCAACCCTCATATACAAAGATTATTCACGACCCCCCTAAATTTCTTTAGAGGATTCAAGGGGACATTTGTGGACCTATCCAACCAATATGCGGACCATTTAGATACTTTATGGTGTTGGTTGATGCATCGACACGATGGTCACATGTTTACATGTTGTCCACATGCAACTTTACGTTCGCTAAACTCTTAGCTTAAATCATTCAGTTAAGGGCTCACAACCCTGATTATCCGATCAAGTTGATTCGACTGGATAATGCTGGAGAATTTACATCACAAACTTCTGACGATTATTGCATGCCAGTAGGGATTGATGTGGAACATCCTATGCCCCATGTTCACACCCAAAACGGCCTGGCAGAAGCTTTCATAAAGCGCCTTCAATTGATAGCTCGGACTTTAGTTATGAGAACCAAATTGCCCGTATCTGCTTGGGGCTATGCAATATTGTATGTAGCTATGTTGGTCCGCCTGAAGCCCACCGCTACCCAACCATATTCACCGTTACATTTGGTCATTGGATACGAGCCTGGCAGCTCGCATTTACGAGTGTTTTGGGTGTGCCATTTATGTGCCAATAATGTCGCCGCTACGTACCAAAATGGGTCATCTGAGAAAAATGGGAATCTATGTCGGTTATGATTCGCCATCAATTGTTCGATACTTAGAACCCTTGACAGGAGATCTCTTTACTGCACGTTTTGCGGATTGTCATTTTGATGAGACAGTCTTCCGGTCGTTAGTGGGAGATAAACATGCTAACGTTCTCGTAGAACGCTGCGAATTATCGTGGTATGCTCCCACTATGTCTCATTTAGATCCCCGTACTGCCCAGTCTGAAACTGAGGTGCGATGAATTATAGATCTTCAGAGCATTGCTCAAAGCATGCGGGATGCTTTTAATGATCTAGCAAAGGTGACAATATCATATATACCTGTGGCAAACACACCTGCAAGGATAGATGTACCCTGCGTAAGTCAACAACCTACCTAGGAAGGCCGGACCGTCCCCGAAGGTGGGGAGGCCGCACC